TTAACTACTTCTTTCTTCAGAAAAAAATGATAAATACGCTAAAGACTGGATTGGAACTACGTTTTCAAAATGTGCCGCATCGTTGCTGAACATAATGTGTCACAACGAGCACTTTGTGTCGTACTTTGATGTGTCGCAAAGTACGACACATACAACACATTTTATGTTAGTATGTAACTTTCTGTACTATTTCTCTATATTTTATTTCTCTTCTGATTTATTTTTCTTCTCTACCACCGTACATACAGATGGAAGCTTCCGTCATACACAACTATTCCCATATGTGAGTAAATTTTCTCCTATACTAATGTTCGTGATAATAGAGGATGGAAGAAAGGAGAAAAAACATCTGACAACAACGATGCAGGTATTACACACACATTTGACGTAGTCAAATATTTAGATACAGAATGGAACAAGGTATTTTTTTTCATTTCATTTTTTTAATTGCGATAGAACAGGCAGGTAGGTAGTTAGTTCCATCTCTGAGCAAAAATCTTTTCTCTTTCCTCTTTTGTGAAACACGATCTAAAACTATTGTTGAAGTATAGAAGCAGAAATTTGAACTTCCAACATACTGTTATAGATATAGTCAAGAAATTCAAGTCAACTAGAAATTATATATTGAACTCGATTAAGTTTATTATACAAATATGTTTTTATCAAAGACCAAGAATATAACACTTAAACATCATGATTCACGTCATAGAGACATAACACGAATAGTAGTTAGCTGATGAAATCATTTTTCTATCTAAATCACAGGTATCTATACCGTGCTTTACACTTTATTCTCGAAGTGAATTACGATAACAGCTTTTTTCTATATTACATTCGTTGGGTATTAACTAAACATTTATTTCAAGAACAATTGAAGCACTAGGTTTTAGTATAACATATGACTCATCACGATTTATGTCAATAAAAAATGTACGTTTTTCAATACCATTTATTACCATCATAAATGAGTAACTTTGAAGATATCTCCTTGACTTTATTGTTGTTGGTAAGGATCTACTAATTGTTTTACTGTTTTTTCACCTACTAAATCTTCCTCACTACTGGCTCAATGACTAATCGACAATGTGCAATGAACGACACAAATCTAAATAAGACCAAAACAGTTAAATCATTAGCAGTTCCAAAATAGATATAGTCAAATCATGAAGAAATCTACGAGAGGCTCAATTAGTGTTAAAAGACGTAAACTGCACTCTGGATTAAAGCAAATTCTAATCAGCCTTAACTATACTGAAACCAAGTACTTAAGACATTCTGTAATGAACATTTATTAGGAACTAAAGAGGTGCAATATAGATGAAAAGAGGGAAGAAGAAAGGTTTCTGTCTAGGAGTTTAAGTGGATAGTTAGATTGATAGATAGGGAGTCAGGTAGGCAAGTAGATAGTGATGTAGCTAGTTAGACAGATACGTGGGTAGGTAGTTAGTTAGATAGCTAGATAGCTAAGTAGTTGGATAGATAGATAGGCAATTAGTTAAGTGGGCTGATTGCTAGATAGATTTGTAGATAAGTTAATGAGTGACGAGACACATCCATCTTTCAATGTCTCAATTGTTAATATTATGTGAATCGCTTATATGGACAAGAAATTCATGGGAAGTTATAACAGAAAAGGCGTAGAAATAGAGAAAAAATAAAGAAATGTGTAAACGCACGGAAAAGCTGAGGATTTTAGGATGATAATCGCGATTCTCGATTGTCAGTCAGAAATACTTATAGTAAGTAGATCTCAAAATGACTAAGAATTTGTAATACATAAATTGTCAAAAATTTTACCTCATATAAAAAGTGATCATTTTCACACTGAGCTTTTTTGAATGTTTTCGGATGACCATCGAAAACTACTATTAGCACTCGAAAATGGTCAAAATTTCTATAGCGTTTTCATGTGTTTTTTTTTTCATTTTTTTTTGTCTGCTTGGAAAGCTATCAATCAAGAAATATATATTTAAAAGAATGCATTAATAACAAACTATTGTCTTTTGTTGATAAATATCATTGGAGTGGAAGTTAGCTGCTCTGGTCCGATTTATCAAGGATGCATTATTCAAATATTGTTCAAAAACGTTTGAATGAGAAAAGCATACTGTTCATTTCTCATTGTGTCAATATACCAAACGTACCTCAAGCTCATCCAATTGGGACCGAAAAATATATGAAAACAATTGAGAAGCAAAAACTGTTGATCATTTACTTCGAAGAATCAAACAGTGGGCAAAAGAACTTGATCAAAAAATGTTGCAAGCCACGATGGGAATATTCAGAAGACACTGCAAGCTATGTGCCGAGAGGAACTATATTCAGTTCTCAAAATACAGGTTTTTTTTACTACTTGTCATACCCTTTCCAAAAAAAAAATTATCTTTCCATCTTCTAAAGTGATTGAGCTATGCAACTCAACATTTTTTCAAAGACTTTTGCATCGTTTATTAGCTTCTAAGTTTGATGAAAAAACATAATTCTTCATGCACTTAAAAGCTACAAACAAATTGGTAGATTCAGTTGAGATGATTTATATATTGAGAAATAGAAACCCATATTGTTTTGTCTATTCAAAATATTTCGTCAACAATTTAGAACATTGACAGTTTTTAAATAAGTTCATGTAGATGTTTATAAATAATAGCATTGATTTTTTCGTATATAAAAAATAAGGTCAGAAGAAAAATATGCTTCTACTTTTACACTTCTTTCATCGATTATATATAGCAAATATACTATATGATAATTAAGTATAATTTATTAATGAAATGGCATGATTGTAATTATTGACAAAAAGTAGAAGTACCTTTCAATACAAGTTTATATACATATTTTTAATACTCGAGAACAGATCTGTCAAAATAAGTGATAATATTAAATAATAAATTACAATCAGGTTGAATTAATTCATTTTTTTTGTAATACAATACATTCGAAATGTATAAATAATTTAATCTATAGGATGTTCAGAAAGTCATTAGACAAACGAAAAATTTCAATATCTTCACTGTGCTTTAATGAAATGAGCTAATTTTTTTCTAAGGGTAAAATGACAGTTTCAAGTTTTTATTTATCTGTGAACAGTGCTTTCATATACGTAAAACCAGCAAATCTTTGTCTACTATGTCACTAAACAGTTTTGATGAAGATTTATTTACCATCTATAAATAATTCTGCTATTGTGATTTTGTATTAAAAACTCAATCATCCTCTAAATTTAATCATTGTTGTGCAACGTTTTCATGATTGCTTGGATAATAAAGGACAATTTCTTTCATACTAGTGTTGTTGCACTATACATCAGCTATACGGATTGACAAATAAATAAAAGAATACCCTACAATTTCGGTCTATAGCTATGACAAAAAAAACACACGTTTGTGTGTTGTTAAGTGATATAGTGAACAAAAGTTTGCTAGGTCTTATGTGTGTGAATGGACTGTTCATTGATGAATAAAAACTTAAAATGGTCCTTTATCCCGAGAAAAAAAATCAGTTCATTTCATTGAAACACAATAAATATATTGAAATTTTTTTTTTGACTAAATGACTTTCTGAATACTCTAGATATTTCTATTGACATTCAAAAGAACATCAATCGATCTTATTTCTTTATTAATTTGTTTCGAAAAGAATATGATAGATTCTTATCAGAATGTAAATAGAAATAGATGTATATTTTTTTTTAATTTAACCTATCGGTTTGAACCGATCATTTAATCAAATTGTTTCCTATTATTAAAAAAAAACAAAATAATATGATTATGGAGTAATATAGTCATATAAAAGCGAGCCTCATGACTGAAAAAAATCATAGACAGAACTCAACATTTCAACCAGAAGATGAAATAGCGATATAATCGACGTTTTATTATTATTGAAGATAACGTTCTCAAGCATGAGGGACAGTACGCTCTCCCTCCCTCCAGCACTCTCCTGATTTATATGCCTGAAAAGAAATTCAAGGCAGTATCATGACATCTTAATATCAAATTCTATAACAACATTATACCAATACTCAAACGATGGCCACATCGGAACTCAATAATTACTTTGTAATTTGATTTTTTTTCTTCAAACGATATGAGATTTTTTAAATTTATGAGTTATATTAAGCGAAAATGGTTTATTTGTAGACGGTACTCGTCTCATGCTTTGAATGATTCATATCCTTTTTTTTTAAAGAAAGAAAGAAAGAAAGAAAGAATAAAAGAATTTTTTTTTGTTTGATTTGTTTGTCTTGAAACATGTCATAAAATGTTTGTTTTACAGATTTTTTTTCTTTTTTTATTAGTTTGATCGATTAGGTAAGAAGAAAGGAAGTAAAACATTTTACTTGTTAAGAAAATTAAGTTTTTTTGTTTTTTATTACATTCATTGAAACCATTATATATTTCATTTGAGTTTTGTTTATATCAAAAAAACATACCCTTCAAAAGAATTTGCGATCATAGTACAATAATTTATGCTCTTCCATTAGCTTATTCATATGTTGCATTTGAGAAACCTCTCAAATGACATACGTGACCGTTTCTAACCTTACAACCAATAAATTTTTGCAATGTATGTTTTCTTCGGCATTGATGAATGAAACTTTTTAATATTCTCTGCAAATACAACAGATAACCATGTCATTAATTTAAAAATATAAATCTAAGTGTGATTGTGCTTGCATGACATGTACAGAACAGCGTGACTGATAATATACTGATTATGAATAACAGAGCAACACTAGTGTTCATAGTTTTGCCTTTTCTTTAACATTATGCTTTTGTTGTTTGAATCTAACGCATGTTGTTAAGTTGCAGTGAGAGAATCTAAAAGAAAAATAAAGAACGAAAAAGAAAATGAATATAGTCGCTATTATACTTGTTAAATATTTGTTCTCAACGGTCACCTTCGCATGTTTCTAGACGATCGTACAGATCTCAATAAAATTTATGCCGTGATAAGACAAAATATTGACAATAAAACTTTATACAAAACTATGCTGATAGATGATGACAGCAATAAGAACATTCGCATCATCAATATCAACGAACAATCGTCGATTTATTTATCTCATATTTGCTGGTGCCTTTGGCTCATTTATGATTTTTATTATATCAAGTCTTACTTCTTCATCAGCCTGGGTTATTTTACCTTTACAAATCAATTATCGACAACGACCTGAATGTACCTGTTTAAGATCTGAACTACCTCTATTATCATCTCCTTTAACATCCAAACAAAACGATAGTCAAGCATTTCTTTGTAGTGAATATGCTACACAACGAGGACCTCATCAACGTATTATTGCAATTAGTCTTTTTGGCCCAAAAGAAAATAGAATATTTCAATTTAATCGATCAATTAATTTTCTTCATGCACTTATACAAGATCTGAATATAAGATATTCTGACGGATTTATATTGCGTATTCATCATGATAATACAATTAATACAGCAGATATTATTTGTCCTATAGAATGTAAGCATCCAAATGTAGATTTCTGTAATATGACTCATAAACTTTATATTCCACCAAAAATTTGGCGTTTTATACCAGCTGGTGATCCATTAGTTGATGTCAGTAAGTTGTGAATTTTGATATTCGTTTCACTTGATTAGTGTTCTGTGTCATTAATATATCTATATAGATAGTTGTGAATATAGAGGAGAACATAACAATGTAACACCTTTTAATGATTATATACATCACACACATATTCTTTGTACTCTGTAATATGAACACCAAAGTTGTGATTGAATAAAAAGAATAGACATATTCTGAAAAAAAAGCATAATATTTAGTATCATTTACAACATTGAATAAAGGTTAATTATGATGATGTATGCTTAAATGCAATAAAACAGTTTAGGTCAAAAGACAAAAAGAAACAATGCATTTATGAAAATTGTAAATGTTCGATTTATCGTTATACGGATGAAAATAATTAATCATAAACAATAAAATAGTATCGTATATCTGAAAGTATTGAGTTGCCAACGAAATTTACCCAAGAACAAATGCAAACATGTTCCACAAGCAGTTTCTAATCCAAGGATTTTTATTTCTATCATTACCTCGTCATTCTGTAATAAAAGTATATATACATGTAAATTTGACTAAGATTAAAACAACGAAAGAAAATGATATAAATCCTTTGTTACATTTGTGAAAAGATAATATACAATAAAATAAGAAAAAAAATCTGTCAATTTCATTTTCCTTCTAACCATATACGGTATGTAAAATAATTATTTGTACACCATGTCGTACTTATCTTGTGAAGTATATTTTCTAAAGAAGATAAAAATAGTTTCTCGACTCTCATTATAACCATTCGATAGAGCGAAATTTCTAGTTTACTTTACGCAAAAGAATTTTCTTTCAAGGACGTTTTCATCAATTTTTTGGAAGGT